TGTCATTTATTTCCGTTGCTGCTCATCTTTACATACGCCCAGCAGTGAAACAGTTTGGCTAATTATAAGGGGATTTTTCTTCATGCTAGAAGCAAGGAAAACACAAAAATGCGTATCTAATCTTTTGACATATCACATTTACTCACAAAATTGGTGTCTGGATTCATCACTGTGTTACTGAAGAACCGAACTAAGTATAATATTTCTCCTGACTCAAATGTCATCCAATTTTATTAAAATTTATGATACTGATGCACTGTTTTCAAATATTTGCATATTCATTAATCATCTTAATAATGATGATCTGTTTCTGTGATTGTTCTTGATTAAGTGGGGTATGATATTCTTAATTGTGATGCTATGAAACAAAGCTTTGTATGACTTATAACATACATGTATGCCTTATGGCACCATACATGCATGTGACAATACACACATCCCACCACCATATGTACAATCACTCACATGTATGCATATAGATACCAAAATATTTACAGTATTTTCTAATTCTATTTTGTGTAAAAGAAAAAAAAATGTTCCCATGTACAGAGAGGACCCTGTTTTGTTCAACTAACAATTTGGAGAGACCAGAATTCCACCAAGTATTTTTCTAGAACTACTTTACATAAGCAGTATTTATATAAGTGTATCTGTTGTATTTTTGTTTTTATTTTATATTAAGTGATTTTAGGTTTTATGTGTGATTTGTTTCAATCTGGGGATGCTTATTTTTTTTCATAAAATATGAGAATTTTCCTTCACTTTAAGACATTTCTGCTTATGAAATTTTTCATGGTAATATTCTACCATCAGATATATGGGAAATCTTCATTTCACTCTTATTATATTATTTTTTAATTTATGTACCTAAGTCCTGAATTCCCTTAACAATGCTGTGATCTTAAACCCCACTGAAGCCATTAATGCCTTTATCTGTCTCTGATAATTTATTGAATTGTCAGCTCTACTCCTGTTCCTTACTACTTGTATCTTGGGATTTGACTTTTACAGAGTCAGTGTTCCTTGAAAATTTACCAGGCAGGAGAGATGTTTTGACCACAATACTACTTTACAAATTTAGTGTGCTTTAAAGACAAGAAGGAGCTCCCATTAATTTGTTTCTAAAATTTTACCAAGGATTTTACCTATGGATTTCTGGAGATTATAGGGGGAGCCATTATTCTGTAAACTGATTTTAATTCACCTTACCACAGCATAATTAAAGGTTCTCAATGGCCCTATTCTACAAGGAAAGGAAGAATTAATTAAGTTACATTATCAAGCAATATTCATTGTTTCCTTATGACAATTAAGATAATGTCTATTTTATAATGCCTTAAACCACATTTTGAAATGCTTTTTCATTGCATTTGATTTTATTTCTATTGCTAATGATATTATAAACAATGCCTTTTGTGAGATGGATTTATGAAGAAGTTGTTTTATTCTAGCAATTTTTTTTCTTCTATGAAAGAAAATTTACTACAAAGTTAATCTGTACAATAATCTGTGCTAAACTGAAAAAGCCTCACAAAATAATAGTCATATCACAATTTATATAATTTATATAACTGATTCTATCCTGATCATCCGAGTTCAGATTTCTGAGATGTAGTTTTGTGAAAGAATGAATTTCTTTTGCTATAAGCTCCAACATTTGTAGTAATTCTTGTCTCTTACAGAAAGACTTTTTTTTTTTTTCAGGTGTGATTAAATTTGGGTCTTTTTATTAGGGGATATCAGGGATTATCTGCATAGGTCTTATCTTTTTAAAAAGATAAAGATAAAAATTGCACATTTATCTTTATAAGTGAGAGTACAGAGAGATTAATCTTTCCCTCCCTCCTCCTTCCCTCTCTCTCTCTCTCTCTCTCTCTCTCTCTCACACACACACACACACACACACACAGGAATGAGAAATATGTAGGAGGAGATAGAGATGTCAGGAAGTCAATCAAGAGTGGAAGGATGTGACCACAGACAGAGCATGTTGGTAATCTCTAGAAGGCAGAGTAACAGAATGAAGTCTTAGTAGAATGAAGTCTTCCCTTGACCTTCAGAGGGGGGTAGGACGTTTTACAACCACCTTGATTCTGTCCTGATCATGTGAGTTCAAGTTTCTGAGCTGTAGTTTTGTGAAAGAATAAATAAATGCCTGTCACTGCGAGCCACGACAATTGTAATAGTGTTTTTTTCTACAGCTAAATGAAATTGATACCAATTTTGGTATTGTTAAACTAAAATTTCTAATATGTACAAATTTATTAAAAGATAAAGGATTAGGCCCTCCCTGGTGGTGCAGCGGGTTAAAGCACAGCACTAAGAAGCTAAAGCCACTTAAGCATGAGTTCAATCTCCACCCTGGAGGTGACCCACATGGCGTGGCAGACCCCTCCTGACCCGCCCACGGCTCCCCTCACCAGTGTACTTCCTCAGTCGAACTGCTCTGCTCCTCACTCTGTCTCTGGTGAATCCTCTCACTGCCCCTGCACCTCTGGCCTGTACCCCATTTCTGTATGCATAAATAATAATAAAAAAAATCTTTACAGGATGCCTTCAAATCCCTTCGGTTTATTTCTGACATTAATGGTTTTTAATCGTAAAACTATTGTTTGACAGATGTCTCATCATTAGTAGCCAAATATCTCAGTTTACTCAGAGCACTATAATAAATGACATTGGAGCAGCGAGCTTAAACAACAAACATTTATTTCTCACTGTTCTGAGTCTGGGATATCCAAGATCAAGTTGCTAGCAAAGTCAGCTCTTGGTGAGTTTTCTCTTCCCAGTTTGCTAACAGCTTCCTGCCACTTGTAACTTCACATGGAGAGAACAGAGAAGAAAGCTTACTCCCAGTTCTTCTTAGAAGGGCACAAATCCCACTCATAACCTTCCAGAGACTTCTCCCTCTGAAAAATATCACAATGGCTATTAGGGCTTTAGTCTATGAAAGTTGAAGGAACACAATTGTATAGCATGGCTAACAGGATAATGGGATGAGTTGGTGATATTATTGTACTTCCAGAAGATACTAGTTCACCCGAATGCAAGATCAGTCTACAAATCATTGTCCAAATGTTTGACTCATTTTTTTGTAATTGAAATGATGATATATGATTTTAAGATACCTATTATATTTTAGGTATAGCGCTTAATATGTAGACATATATTACACAGGACATGCATTATATAGGATGAATATAAGTTATTAAAGATAAAATGTCTTATACAGTTAAAATTGATATAACTTAGATTTGCTGTCTTTAAAAAAATCCATCATGTTAAAACATGGGTATATTGATATGATCAATTGCCAGAAGAAAAATTAATTAGTATGTGTGCACATATATTCCATTGAATGTATAAATATGTGTATATTATGTATGTATGTGTATATTATACATATGCATATATGCTATATATGTGTATGTGTGCATGTAGGTGTGTGTATATATACACATATGTTCTTTTAGTATTGTGAAAGATGCCTGATGAAAATCTCAGGTAGCTGTGCTTTTGTCTGCTGCTTATCAAAAGCTATTTTCCTTGTTCAAGCATGATGAACTTTAATAGGAATAAATGACCATAAATAATCCATGGATTTTTTAAAAATAAATTTTCAGAATCAGATACCAAACACGTATTTTCTCACTTGAGTGCATGTATTTTTAAAAATCATTCCCCATATATTGTTCAGTTAAGGACATTTAAAATAGAAATATAGGATGTAGTTTTAATAAAATACTGCATATTTGAAATATGTTATAGGACTAGACCCAGAGATAGCAGTATCAAATAATGTTAACCTCATAGAAGCCACTATGAATATGTGTGTAGACCCAATTTAGAGGAAATACACTATTTCCTAGAGTAGTTCACTGAGAAAAGGTTTAGGGCCAGCAGCAAGGAATATACTCAATGCTCAGATCTTGGTTTCTAAACTCATTCCCCTAGAAATGGAGCCAGGGTCCTTGGGAATATTGCTGAGTCTAAGACTGCAAGGAAGACATCTATAATGTGATCTCGTAGTACCAGGACATAATGAAGTGTTCAGTACAGAAACCAATGCAGTGTGTCAGAAAGACACATGTACTTTGTAAATGAACTGACAAAGATCAAAACTGGAGGAATTCAAACAGCAACAGAAGCGGCATAGTATTGAATTATGACACAGTATATACAAAACAAAACAAAAAATCTATAAGTTCACACAGGTATAACTTAGTGAATGAGTGAGTGAATGAATGAATGAATGAAGGCATGCATGCACAAACAAGCAGATGGGGAGATAAGGGAAATCTTTCTTGCAGAATTCCAACTAAATGGTGTAGTGGGGATTACCTCTGCCCTGAGTGGGGGCTTGCTGCTTAAGGCACAGTTTGGTTAGAAAGAACAGAAGAGCTGGGGCCATGACCCTGGGATCTGTAGTAACGGGCATGGCACAACCTTTTGGTCTTCCTGCAGAACCCACCCCAGTAGAAATACAGAGCTTCCATCACCTCGCGTGTAAATATGAGGAAAACATCAAGCAAATCCCAATGTCTGATAATCACTCTTCAAAACTCTTAACATCATCAAAAGCAAGGAAAATCTGGGAAACTAACGCTGTCCAGCAGAGGAATAAATGCTAGCGTCAACAACTTACCCAAACACAAACATAATGATATCAGAATAATATAATGGTTCTTTTGAGTTCATGTGTCACACAGTGTCAGCTTAATGTAGTACAGACACATGTGGATTTTAAATGATGCACACCTGGAAATTACATAGTGTTCTAATGTGGTTTCAGTTCAGTCAAGTAATAAGCAAAAAATGGTATAACAGCAAGTGAGCCATTGTCATGTAAAATGCTGAATGTAGGAAATGCGGAATGTAGAATGTAGAATAAGAACTCTGAACTATCTTTGCAGCATTTAAGTACATGTGATATATTTTAAGGTACATACATACTAGAAAAAAATTGGACTTCGTAAATTTGTATCTGTTTATCTTTTCAGCACTGTTTGGCTCTATTTGGGGATATAGTCCATTTGGAACTCAATAGCATTATGGAGGTTTAGAGCATGCCAGACTCTTTGAAGGTAAGTGGCAACTGCGTATCACCAACTCATTAGTTTTTAATCTCTTAACATACACTTCAAAATTGAAAGTATTTGTACACTTCTTTTTAACATATTTATTTAACTAGAAACCAGAACCTACAAATATGTATATATTCATAGTTGTTACCTTAAACAGAATAAAACACATGAAACTAAAGCAGCCATGACTTTTAAATTCAATGGTTTTAAGCTTCTTTACTGCATTTTTCTCTCACTGTTTCAATTTACATGCAGACTTGAGAAAAGCTAATGGCTATGATCCTCCTAAAGAACAGAAATTGATTTTCTTCTTTTATGTTCTTTTTATGACACTTGCCTACTCCCTTATAATTAGTGGATATTACTCTTATTAAATTGGGTGTGTCTTATTTCAAAGGCAATCCTTAGATGAAGCTCTGACCCAGGGAACAAAGAGAATGTCGCAAGCGCTCCTGTCTTTATTAATGGTAATATGGCATAGTCTACTGCAGTTGTTTATGGGCAGGCAATTGTAGGCTGTTTTTCCTTTGCTGATAGGAGAAATCTACACACTGAAATTTAGACACAGTTAACCTTCTGCAGACAATAATTAAAGCTGCCTTGACACTTCCTGCTTGGTAATTGTAGAGTCTATTCTTAGGCTGTAGTCAAAACAAGTTTCAGGTTCTCAGTTCTCAATCAGTGATCAATTAAGATTAACCATTGATATAATAGCTCGGAAAGAAAAGGTTAAAGAGATAAGGCAAACATGTAATTAAACTAATGTGACTTTATGGATCTAGCTGTGATGTTTGTTCAAACTCTCTGCATGCTCCTTTTTAATAAGTAGGAAAGCTTTTTTTTTCAGTTTCAGTCTTTTGTTTGCTATATATCTGTTAGCTTTTTAAAATTACTGATTTAATATATATTAAAACACTGTTACTTTTTATATAATTTATGAAATACTTCATCAACTTCAAGTCGCCAATTTGAGTAAAATGAAAAATTTTGATAACCTTTATCAACATTTGTTTAAAATGAAATGAACTATCTTTTCAATAATACTGATTTTTAATCTCTGTTGTCATCCAGTTAAACCTTCAGTATTTTCTCACCAACATTCAAATTATCCATTTAGAAATTTACTTTTACTTTGTAAAATCTTTGTATTTTTCAGAAAATTGGAATGCATTTTAAAATTCCTGATCTTGAATAATTTTAGATTGGTAGTTTCATTGCAGATATTATATTAAGACTGATAGAGTAAGAGACATTAATATTTCAAATTTAACTCCTGTCAGTTAATTCCAAAATATAGTTCTTACAAAACCTTGCTTACATGAAGCTAAATATTACGTGTAATGTAAATATGAGTAATACAAAATTAAGGCCACACAATTCAAATTATTAATTAAGGATTTTGCATCCTTTTAAAAAATAATGATGAGGCATTAGAATTTCCAGAAATTCAAATGAAAGAAAAAGAAGGCACACATTTCTCAAACATTGTGTGATTCTTTCTATGATATCACTGGAGATAAATGTGTAGGAGTTCCATAATTATTACTTAAAATAAAGAAAATAATTTTAGAAAATATATTTTGGAAAAATATACAGCAGAAATAGGTATTAGTTTCAATCAGAAGAGATTTCAGATTCATGCAAAAGACAAAGAGAATGGCTTAAAATTGTTTCCCTTTGAATGTAAGGTGTTTTCATAAACTTCATGTGGGAAAATATAGCAAAATAATCTCAATGTTACAGTGTATTAAAATTGAATATCAATTTAGAAGATTGAAAAGATATGATGTATTGTCAAAATAAGTTAATTTTAAAATATTTGTCTTTCATTCATTTTATTTTGTATCTAATAACACTACTTCCTTTTTATATTTTAATAGTAAAAATGACAATGCATATTTATTTCAGTATTTAAAAATCTATCTTATGATTTTTAATTCTTTTTATGCAATTGTCATGAGATTTTTTTCTTAATTCCTTTAGCTTCTAGTTCACTGTGTATAGAAACACAATAGATTTTGTAGTTTGACTCTACAATTCAATGAATGATTTATTGTCTCAATAGTTTTTCAGTGATGTCTTTAAGGTTTTCTATGTAGATGATCATGCCACAGTCACCTCATGATAGCTTTACTTATTTTTAAAGTCATATTATTTCTATAGTCATATATTTTTTCTTGTCTAATTGCTCTAGCTAGGGCTTCCAATGCTATGTTTAACAGTAGTGATGACAGTGGTCATCATTATCTTATATCTGATCTTAGATTAAAAACTTTTCAGGTTTTCACCATTGAGTATTGAGTATATGTTCTATGTTTTTTTTTTTTTTTTGTACATAGACTTTACCTTGAGGCTTGTTCCCTAGCCTGCAATATTTGAGAATTTTTAGCATAAATGAATGTTGAGTCTTTGTGAATGTCTCTGCCTCTATTGCAGCAACAATATGATTTTTATCTTTCTTTTGTAGTGGAAAATTGCATTGATCATTTTGCATGTGTTGAAACTGGGATAAATCCCTTTCAGTCATGATTTATGATTCGTCTAATGTAATAGTGTCCAATGACCGGTATTTAGCTTAGATGAGCTGTGTGTGTGTGTGTGTGTGTGTGTGTGTGTGTTTAATTTAATGATTACTGATGATGTGTTAGCTTTTACAGGTACTGATTTCTTCTTATGTGTGTCAATCCCCTGCCATTTCTTAGATGGTTTCTTGAATATAATCAGTATAAAATATATATTTATGTAGAGTTCCATTTACATACTCTAACGTTTTCATTATATCAAAAGGTTCAAAATTCTTTTGAAACTTCATTTCAAGAAAATTATTAGGCTAAGACTGGCAGAGAGAGTAAAGTTGTGAAAATGAACACAGGCTGATAAAGAGACCCAGAAATCTAGGATCTGCCTTTAAAAAAACTTTAGGGCATTGGTATGAGGATCAGGTCCTCATGCTTGGGGATCCCTGCCTCTGAGCAGTGATGAGGTGAAACAGAAACTGATAGAAACACAGAGGGAGCAGCAGATCTGCTCAGTCAGGAGTGGATTTGAGCGTTTCTGGTTTTAGTGCTCACAGTATCCTGCTGAGTTGACAATAGGGTTCAAAAATGAATTGCATAGCCATCTGTTTAAAATAAGAAATGTACTTGGTACAGCATTAGTCCTAGAGATCATTTTGTAAATGTTATTAGTATAGTTTTCCCCTAGTGCATTATTGTTTGGGTTACAATTAGCACATCCAAAGAAAATAAATACTGAGAAATTTCTAATTTTTGGTAATTGTCAAAGGTTATTTATTTGAGACATGCATGTTAGGATTTCACAATGGATGTGCCATTGGATATTAGGATTCATCATCTACACAGAATAATAAGTATAGAAAAGAAAGGAGCCTTGACTGTTTTAACTTAGACTCTGCTAGGCTTTTTTTTTTTTTTCCAGAAGTAAAAATTGTTCCAATTATTCATGGCTGTTGCAAGCTTCCAGGATTATTAAAATAGGTTTACAACAAATGCTATCAGTAGAAGAAAATAAAATGTAAAAATGATATTCCAATCTTCCAAGAATTTTCTTTTATGTAATTTCCTATTTCTTTGCACCATACATAGTTTAAAGAGGCATAGGCCACACGATGCTCTTAAAATCCTGCACACTCAGAGACTCAAAGGTCACTTCCATGCGTCTTTATTCCATGACACATATTTTTAGTTAATTTTAAAGGTCACCTTTGTTCTGTAAACCTAATGGTGGTATTCCTTAAATAAAGAAGGAAGCTATAAATAAGTGGGAGATCCCCACCACCACCACCTGCCCCGTAGTTTTAAAGTAATACTGTTTCTATGTCATGCAGTTCTGATGCTATGTGACAAGTCATAATCCAGGTCACTGTGTATCATTCAGGTTAGCTGAACATTTCTTAAGTACAAAGCAAGTAAGCTGTACATGGCCTTTGTTCTAATAATAATAATGATAATGATAAAAAAAATCCTGCAAGAGAGATGAAGAGAATGTTCAGTTATGGTCTATGGGACAACAATCCATAATTTACTTGCAGATGTCTGTGTAATTTAAGCAGCAGGCAGAACAACCACACAGTTGTCGCTGCTCTGGGGAAAGGATACCAAGAGGCTCATAAATCATGGTAAGGATTAAAAGCAATGAGCATTCATCTTCTTAACCTCGTAAAGGCAATACTGGAAAGTCGAGGATTAGACCGTACAGAGCATGGAGTCTCTGTGCGGAGATAAAAGGTGTCAGAATTTTTGAAGCTTCTCTCAATTAGCATTGACCTGCCACTCAAAAGTCAACAGAACATTATTTTAAGGTTGATTAAAAAAAAATACCCCTTCCACTTCCAAATAAATGGAGTGATAGGAGATATTACTAGGGTCTATTGGAAATAGAGTCAAATTACACAGAAATGTTAATCATTTTCTTAGGTTGAAATATGTTTCTTCTAGGACAGCTGATGGCAAATAATCTTAAAATACCCAATCCCTAAAGATCTTCTATTCAGCTAAATGTTTTCAAATAGTGAAATATTGTGAGAAAATCCTAACTTCAGAATAGTTAAATGGAGGAGACGATACAGACAGCTGGAGCTCTCCTATCACATTTAGTAAACAAATGGCCTGTTACTAATTGTTTATATTTGAAAAATTATTCTAATCAAAGGTCTTTGGATGCAAACTAGTAAATCACACAAAATGATGAGTTACTTTTATGGTTGTTGTTGATGATGAAAAACTTAATCAGATTTTAAAGCTTTAACAAATACCAATTTTGTTATTTTTTCCTGATGTTCTTTCATATTAGGTTATTGATCAACTGAATTTTGCAATTTTATAAAAACACCAAGATAGAGCAGAAAATAATAAAACACTTGTTCAAGGATCATTATGAGCCTATTAAGGAGACATAATAACTCCAGTTTCATATTCCCTAGTTTGCTGATCTGGTTCCTCCCCATTACCTCTCCTTCCTCATTTGTAATTCCTTAATTC